GGGGGAGGGGGGGAGGGGGGGAGGAGAAACCGTCATCTCACCCTTCTTATTCTCTCTTTCTTTTTCTTCTTTTCCCCCCATTTTCTCGTTCTTTCTCTTTCTCTTTTGTTTTTTTCCTCTTTTATTTTCTTTTTGTCCTTGATGATGATGATGATTTTTTTGCTTCCTTAATGGGTCTGAAGGACTTCACGAAGAAATCTTCGAGCGAGAGCGAGGCTCTTTTTCGGCTCCATTGTCAATATGCTTAGCGGCACCTCCACTCGTCCAAATAACTCCTTTTGAATTGCCAGGATGATGATTTCACTTCTGGCTAAAATGTGGACATTTCGCACTGTACATCAAGGCACATGGCATACCTTAGAGCGCTATGTTTCGTCGTTGTTATTTTATTGCAATTGTACAGCTGTTACGTTGTTATTCTTGAGTAAAAAAGAAATATTAAAAACTTCTTTTCTCTTTTCATCATTCCTTTTAAGTCATCAGGGCCTAGAGCGTTGACCACTCTGCGTGTCCTCGTCAGATTCCTCGACTCAGTAGATCTACTCCTTTATGAAAACTTTTCTTATACCTTGAGAAAACGCGCAATATTCTTGCGTTTTAGTAGAGTCTCAGCGTGTTATTACAGTCGAAATTGTCCAAGACGGTCATCCGTTATCGAGGGGGGAAAGTGGCTGTCTTAGACAGGTGGGTGTCTTGGACAGTATCATTATAATTTTTTTTTTTTACAAAAAAGGGGGGGTGGGGGGGGTTGGTGCTGGTGATTGTCTTGTACAGGTGGCCGTTAGAGCAGATTTGCCCCTATAAGCAACGGCGCAGAAAAAAAATCAGTGTGTTTTTCTTTCTCAAGGGCATCATGGAAAAACATCTAGAGCTGAAAATTTATTTTCAGAAGAGTGTATCTTTCAAAAGAAGAAAATTTGTTTAAATGCAGATTAACGTTGACTTTCTCAGGAATCAGGAAAATAAAAAGATGGAAGTGAGTTCTTTGGAACTAAAAGCTAATTAGCTCTGTTGGAGGTGTGCTTGGTAACCTTAGCGTAGGAGTGTTCCCAATGACTCGGTTATATCTGCAACGAGGTAAAACGTTCTGGGTTATCTCCAAATTCTCTGAATAGGAACGAAAGTTTTGATTAGTTTGATTGTTTTGATTGGATAACTGCTGTCTGTGATAATATATTATTGCGCAGTTTTCTAGATGCTATAATACTCGAGACAGATGAAGATTTTGGTTCTTCTTTCGTTGGATTGTTCACCGTATGTAGAAATACAATATTTAGACGGGTCGGGATTCAGCCATGTTGTCCGCCTTCTTCTCATCCTCATCCTCTTCCTCTTCTCCTTCATCTGTTTCCATTCTCTCTCACTTTCACTCTCTTCTCTCTCCACCTCCCCACCCGTCTCTCTCTCTCTCTTTCTTTCCTTTCCCCCTTCTCTCTCTCTCTCTCTCTCTCTCTCTCTCTCTCTCT